TGTGACTGTTTGAGGTTGTGGACAGGTGTCTTTTATACTGGTAACGAGTTCAAACAGGTGCCATTAATACCGTTAACAGGTGGAGGACAGAGGAGGCTCTTAAAGAAGAAGTCACAGGTCTGTGAGAGCCAGAAATCTTGTTTGTTTGTAGGTGACCAAATACTTATTTTCCACCATAATTTGCAAATAAATTCTTTAAAAATCAGACAATGTGATTTTCTGGATTTTTTTTTTCTCATTTTGTCTCTCATATTTGAGGTATACCTAGGATGAAAATTACAGGCCTCTCTCATCTTTTTAAGTGGGAGAACTTGCACAATTGGTGGCTGACTAAATACTTTTTTGCTCCACTGTAAGCCAAGTAAAGAGAAAAGTTCCCTCCCCAGCTGATGAATCAGAAAACAAACTCTGCACTTATATCATTCTGCAGGTAAGTAACAATAGGTAAAACCTTTCTGACAGTATGCGTTCTGTTAATACATATTACATGCTGGCACCAATCCAGCATTAAAGGATGAAGCATCCAGCTCAGATTCCAAGCATGACAAGCACTCTTATCACCTTACCTAACACCTAACAGTATATATGTCAGGCACGCTCCACTGATATAGGATAATTAAGGTCACAACTTACTGCTTAGCTGAATTCAACTATACAGATTTTCTTCTGACTTTGCAGTGTTTAGTTGCTTAGAACTGTTGTTTTATGAGAAGATATTACTATTAAAGGAGACATACTGTGCTCATTTGCAGGTGCATACTTTCCACAATTAAATTCAAATGTTCTCTGTATAACTGTATTCCCCCTCTGTCCGAAACCCTCACTTTGAGCACCTGTCTCTTTTAGACCCTGCTCTAATTGGCTTGTGAGAAAAGTAGGGTACACCCTTGCAAAGGTAGTTCTCAAGCCAAGGGTGTAGAGACTCTTTATATTGTAACAGCTGATTAAACATTATCTAACTTTGTCATAATCTGGTGACAACACTGCATGGCAGTTGTTCATTGAGGAGGAACATACAGTCATTATTTTCTCAAATTGTTTTTTTACTTCGCAGGTGTGCGAAGATGTGAACTTCTATCAGTAGCTTTATTTCTTTATTCTTCACAATCCACTGTTGTCATCTTCAGTGTGTATACCCCAGTGAACCAGCATTAATACCTTAAGGCAGTAGCTGTCAGAAAAGGTTCTATACAATTCATAGGTTCAACAATACAAGGACTGAAGGAACTTTGACGAAAAAATGTCCAGCATTCCTTTCGAGAGCTTCGAGAGAGATTTACCATACACATATTGAATATTTTCTAATTCATCAAAGTATTTATTTTCATAATGCCCTTTGGGATTTTGTTAACAATAGAAAAGGTGCTATAGCCAAAAAAGCAGCCTTCCTTTAACACTGAGGCCCAGTTTGTGGCATTCTATCCCAACAGGATGGTATTTCCCCCAATTGTTTTATCTTTAAAGGAGCAAACACCTGAAATACTGGAGCATTTTATTATTATGTGAAGGTTATAATCCATCCATCCATCCATCTTCTCCCGCTTATCCGTGGTCGGGTCGCGGAGGTAGCAGTTCCAGCAGAGAGCCCCAAACTTTCTTTTCCCTGGCCACATCAACCAGCTCTGACTGGGGGATCCCAAGGCGCTCCAAGGCCAGCGAAGAGATATAATCCCTCCACCTGGTCCTATGTCTACCCCTTGGTCTCTTCCCAGCTGGACGTGCCTGGAACACCTCCCTAGGGAGGCGCCCAGGTGGCATCCTAACTAGGTGCCCGAACCACCTCAACTGGCTCCTTTCGACGCGAAGGAGGAGCGGTTCAACTCTGAGTCCCTCCCGGATGACCGAACTTCTCACCTTATCCCTAAGGGAGACACCAGCCACCCTGCGGAGAAAACCCATCTCGGCCGCTTGTACCCGCGATCTCGACTCCCTGGGAACCCGGTCATACGCCTTCTCCAAGTCTACAAAACACATGTAGACTGGATAAGCGTACTCCCAGGCCCCCTCCAGGATCCTTGCGAGAGTAAAAAGCTGATCCGTCGTTCCACGACCAGGACGGAATCCGCATTGTTCCTCCTCAATCTGAGGTTCGACAATCGGCCTGACCCTCCTTTCGAGTACCTTAGAGTAAACTCTCCCGGGGAGGCTGAGTAGTGTATGCCCTCGTAATTGGCACACCACCCTCTGATCCCCTTTTTAAAGGGGAACCACCACCCCGGTCTGCAAGCTCCTTCGTGCTGTTTCCTGATTCCACGGCAACGATGATGAGAGCGTGTCAACCATGACAGTCCCCACCACCAGAGCCTTCAGCATTCTCTGGCGGATATCCATCCAGCCCCCTCGGGGCTTTGGCCACTGTGAAGGTTGTTTGACCGACCTCCAGTGATCCTCCGCCAGGGAGATTGTGTCTGATCCCCCCGTTATACTCAGCGCTCTGCCTCTAACATAGAGGGGCGGAGATGTCGGGTTCAGCGAGTTCGACTGCAAAGGCTCCTTCCAACGACCTAACACCCATCAGTTTGAGTCAACAACGTCCGCATCCTTACTGTCATCAGCTTGGAGTGGTTCCCTGTGCTTCCCCCCTCCTGATGTGTCGAGCAAGCTTTTCCAAAACAACTTGGTCTCCCGAAAGTCCTTTTCAAATGTCTTCTCCGAACTTCCACGCACACCCGCTGCTTTGCCTCGGCCACGGGCTGAGGCTGGCTGCCCTTTCCGGGCCTGTCGGTGCTTGGCAACTGCCTCGGGTAGTTCCGGGATACACCAATCCTGAAGGCCCGCTTCTTCAGTCGGACGGCTTTCCCGACCACCGGTGTCCACCAGGAGGTTCGAGGGTTAGCCGCCCCTTGAGGCACCTAGGACCTTGAGACACAGCTACTGCCGCGGCTTCAGCATAGAGGTCTTTGAACACCGCCACTCGGTTCAATGTCCCCAACTTCTCCCAGGAATGCCGAAAGCCTCCGCCGGAGGTGTGAGTGAAGCTCCTGAACTTGGGCCTCCTCCAAACGTTCCGCAGTTCACCCGAACTACACGTTTGGGCTACCAGGTCTATTCCAGAGTCTCCCCGCCACTCGACCAAACTCACCACCACGATGGTGGATCAAGTGACAACTCTGCCCCTCTCTTTACCCGAGTGTCCAAAACCATACGGGCCTCGAGGTCGATTGATAAAAAAAAAAAAAAAACAAAAACCAACCACCATCCAAGCACGATCACGCATTTCCCCCCACCACTGCCGCCACCGGCCATCACGCCTGGTACCTACATACAACCTTATGAGATGCATCGCTTTAATGGTTCGAACATGTGTTTGTTATGGCCAATCCATGGCGTAGCACAGAAGCCTCCCAGTAACAAACCACCTACTCCGGTTAAGTCAGGGCCCCGGCCGTTCCCGCCACGCTAGCCCTCCAAGTGTCTCGCATTCCAATTGCCCACATGTGGCGATGAATCCGCCAGCAAGATTAAATGAGCTCCGCCTCCTGCAGGAGGGCCCGCATAAACATGGACTCTTTCCAGGGCTCCAAGAAGGCCGTATACTCTGAACGCTGTTGGGTTGCATAAGCACACACCAACAGTCAAGTTTTCCCCCCCCCATCAACCCGCAGGGAGGGAGGCGACCCCTCTCGTCCACTGGGGTAAACCCAACAACGAAGCACCAACGACGGGGACTTGTGAGTATCTACGCCAACTACCGCCCGGCGCCGTCACACCTTGAGCAACTACCGGAGAAGAATATGAGTCCAACCCCTATCCAGAAGTAAGGTGCGCAGAGCCGACGCTGTGCGTAAGAGGTGAGCCCAACCAGATCCAACGTAACCGCCCTCCCGCACGAAGCTCCGACTCCTTCACGCCGCAGAGAGGTGCGTCCACGTCTGCCGAAAGGGGCCAGCTTCTGCCGACCGGTTCTGGTAACGTCGAGACGCCTACTGCCTCACGCCACGCCTTGCTGGCAGCACACCCGACCCCCATCGCGCTTTTGCCCGTAGGTGGTGGCCCGCGGGACGGAGAAGCGGAGGTGTTGCCCACGTTGCCGTTTTCGGGCTGTAACCGGGTATCCTCAGTTCGTGTGTTGCTCTTTCATGAGGTCCTTGTGAACCAAATTTAGTCTGGCCCTTGCCCGAGAACCCATTTGCCATGGGACAGGGCACGCCCTACCAGGAACACAAAGGTTCCAGACAAACACCAGCGCCCCTCAGGTTCATCAGCGGCAGCACCAAACCCTCTCTCAAACGGACGGTAAGGTGCTGGTTGCTTCAAGCAGAGGGTAAAGGTTATAGAGTGAATCTCAGACTTAACGAGTTCCTTAGCTGGTCTGCTTCATGTTTGAGTTGGCTCTCTGTTAGCATGGCCTGTAGAGGACCCCACGGTGTTCTTCGCTCGTTCCTCTCGTGTAACTCCGCTCCAGGTGACCTCATCATCCATGCCACGTGCTCCTCCATCCGTCACAGCACCACGCTGTGATGAATGGGTACATGATGGGTTGCCTTCCTGGTTGCAGGGATAAAGAGGTATGATGAATATTATCTTTACATCATGTTAACGGGTGACTGTCCCAACCACGACACGGTCCGGCATCATATTATGACTATCACACTAAGAACCCGCGGCCAGGGGTCGCTGTATACTAAAAACACGGCCAACGGGTAAATGGTACACGCTATTAGCATTAGACAGAATAGATACATACTTATTTATACACCATACACAGAGGTAATAAGGAATATAAAAGAATCAGGCACAAGTAGTACATATACCATAGAATCTGAAGGAAAACGCAACCCAAGAAAACACCCCAAAAAAAACAAACCCCCACCCCCAGCTTTTCATATTTTTATAGCCCTTCATGCAAATTGCATGAAGTTAACTAAAAGACTGCTACAGTGAGTTATGTGCAAAGTGCCCCTGCCCTATCACCTCTCTATATAATCATAATTCTTAGGAACGCAGTAAGACAACAGCGTTGCTATAAGCAACAGCATCATTTTTATGTTTTACGCGAGATCAATAGCACGAGAAGCACTGCATTTCTATAAGGGTGAATCATTACCCACTAGCGCGTAATTGGTATCGCAAATGGCCATTTTTCTTATCTGACTTAGAGATGATCCGACTCACCGTGATCGGCGGATCGGATGGCCGCGATCGCTGTGATTTCAAAAAGATCTGGAATCGGGAGAAAAAAATCGGGGATACGGATTTTATTTTTTATTTTTTTAAATGTTGTATTCCAATGTACAAAACAAAAATGACCAATGTTCAAGGTGCTTAAAGTCAATCCTGAGGTGCGCTTAGTTTGGTTTCAATTACACAACATCATGTATGTGTTGGCTTCTTGGGGCTGTTTTCATAGACTGGTTGCTTATTCTCTCAAATCTGGGCAACAGAGTGGGCAGGCTGGGCAGTGGCTAACGTAGCAGTAAGCAACAAGTACGATAAGCTTTATTTTGTTTTGAAATCCAATGCTGCACAAACTGAACTGATCCAATGCTGCTGGTGAAAAAAAAGAAGCTATAGCCATGGTGGATAGAATATCCCAATTTAAATAAAAAATAACCCTAAGGGAGCCAACTTGAAGCTGTTTTCTTTTTCTTCCTTAATGCATGCATAACGATCCGGATCGGGAAAAATCGTAATCCGGCAAATAGGGGGGGGGGGGCGGGGGGGGGGGGGGGGGGGGGGGTCAAATATCAAATGATCGGAATCGGATCGGGAGCAAAAAAAGGTGATCGGGATACTAATCTGGACTTCGTCATATTGACACTTTTAACAACAGAGTAACCCCTCCCAGAAAACGGGTCGATTCTGCGATCGAGATTACCGCATAATCAGCCCAAATGGCCCGCAGATTTTTAAAAAAAGCCGGCATATTTATCAAAAGGTCGCGCGGCATAAATCCCGCCCTGCATTTTTCCAGCCAGCAAACGTTGAGAGAAGAAAAAAGTAACTCGTCTGACGTGAGACGTTATCCACGCTCGCGCATCAAGCAGAATGTACGAACAACCCCGGACACTGTATACCCGCAGCGTCATTTACCAACGAAATTCTACAAAGACGGGGCAAAAAGGGGGGGAAACTAATTCTGCAGGCGCCCCGTTGCAACCTGTTGTTGCAGCATAAAGAGAAAACACGGTGGCGACCCACTTTGATTCATTCAACATTCGAAAATGCTTCGCCTGCTGGCGGACAAGAAAGGGCATTCAAGCTCCCGTTCACCGAGGGACTCACCTCCAAAAACCCTTTCGAGGGCTACAAGAAACGAAGTGAGTAGGCCTACAAGAATTGAAGCTGGTCCAGAATAACGA